TGGTCTAATCTAACCACTAGAGTGTGCACATGGTCCGGTGTTAGTTTTGCCGGGAGATTTCAGTTATCAGTTACGCGACTTATGTTGCGAGATTCAGTTATCAGTTACGCGTCTTATGTTGCGAGATTCAGTTATGACCGTTTTTATTTATCAGTTTAAATTTTTAAGCGGTACTCAGAAAAATCAAGTTTTCACGGTAGCATCTCGATCAGTTTTCGCAAAAATAAGTATTTTGTTTAATTATTCAGAAAATTTGCGAAAAATCGCGCACTCTGATGTATATAAAATAGCGGGGTGTTACATAGGTTCTTTCACAAAACTATTTTTTCTCTTCCAATACACATTTTTTACAGGATCTGACCAGGAAAATCCAATTTTGACCAGCAATATACTTATAACGAATTATTGCAACTCACAGCTAGGAAGTAGAAATCCACCATCCAGTGGATTTAAACTTCTGTAAACATTATTTTCTTCCTGCAGCATTACAGACATTAGGAACTTATAATGCAACATGTAGTTCACTCATGTATGATCCTCTTGTCCAAAATATAGTCAATTATAGAGTTCAGGTTTTACAGCTTCATATACAAAACAAAGAATAATTACCTTGACTGCAATGATTGCATGATCAAGAAGAGGAAGCAGATTAGGATGGCTAAACAGAGATGAAACACGAATTTCCTCCCTCACCAACTCCAACTGCTCACTGTTTTGAATGAGAACTTTCTTCATAGCATAAGTTCCATCACCTATGTGAAGCCATGCAGATGGACAAAGCACAAATCAGGCCAAATTTTTTAACTCGAGAGCCAACCCAAACATCGGCGATATTAACATTCACAAAAACCAAATTTTCTCTCTCAAGTCTTGGACAATTCTTTTCATCTCCCAACCACTTCTGTCTTCAGACGTTAAACTTTTTGAAAGCCAAACATTGGCCTCAAGGTAAGCAATTAACTGTAACTATTTTCAACTTTACTTTCCAATAGATTCCAAATCATTTTATTGCGCTGCCATTCAACTTTTATAATTAAAATGAGGACCCTCCTACTCCTCCACTCCATAATTATTAATTTCCATTGTTCAAAATTATTCACTATCTTCTAAGCAAGTAATCATTTTCCCCTCAAATCAGCAGCTACCGTTAAACACAAAAAAATCAATTCAGTCAGTTATTCACACGAATTCATCCAACACATGAGCAATTTCAACCAACCAGCAAAATTCTACATATCGTTAATACAATAGATCTCGCCTTATTCTGTTGAAATTATTCAATCCCTTATTCTTGAAACCACAATAAACATTATCAGAGATCGAGGTCTTCAGACATTTCCCACACTCTACCTCAACACCAAGATGCAGTTCAAACAAGCGATCAGATTCAGAATACAAAATGCAAATTATCTAAAATAAAAAAAGGAAAGAAAATCGTACGAAACCTCCCTCCCCCTAAAGAAAATAGCGGATCGGACGACGAAAATGATAACATTACCGGAGACGTGAGTCGAGTCCTTGATTTTGGCGGAGATGCCATTGGAAGGGTTCGAAGGGTCGGCGAGAAGCTCCTTCACCAGGTAGACGTAGGCGAAACCTCCCTCGCCGAGCAGCCTCACGATCCTGAAACGGTTCTCGTTGATCCAGACGTCGCCGGCCCCATTAACGGCGTCGTATAGGGCGTTCAATCCGGAGAAGGAGCAGCCCATCTCTCTGGTTTTTTCTCGTTACAATCTGAGACTTACCTATGGAAATGGTGATCCTCTTCTCTCTCTCTCTTTCCTTGGGATCTCCCACTCGAAAGAGAGTATGTTGATCGATGGAGGTCAAATTACTATGTGGAATATTGAGGAGTAGTAGTTTGTGAGGAGTGATTTGAGGTGAACGCTCGCGTTTTACGTTTTGAGTAACGTGGCGCCCTTGCTTTTTTCAGTTATATTTTTCTTCTCTCTTTTCTTTTTATTACAAAATCATAATATCACTGTTCTAAAAATCGGTCTAGGTGGCTGCCCAAACGGCGCCTAGGCACTAAGCGATGCCCGGGCGTCTCTGATTTGAATAAATTGACAGAAAAAATTGGTCAGGCGGCTAGGTGGGCCTAGGCAGACTTAGCGGGCTCGACGGCCAGACGGTTAGGTGGCGCCTAGGCGAGCTCAGCGACAATTTTTCAGTTATTTTTTTTTATTTTTTTATTTTTTAAGATACTAATTACATTATTTTATTCTCATGTTTTCTTTAAAATAAATTAAATTTTATTATTTAATTATATTTTATTGTTTGGACTTAGGTGTGTCAATTTATTATAAGTTGAGATAATTTTATTTTGTATGTAGTTAAAATAAATAAAAAAATAAAATACTTAATATTGATTTCTAGGTCCCGCCTAGACGCTCTAGGCGGTAGGCGTTGGTCGAGTGCCTAGCGACTTTTAGAACACTGCATAATGTATGGAAATGCTATGGCCCGTTACGAAACCATCGTGTTGGGGTTTGTAACCGTTAGATCAACTATTTTATACTAACTACATGATGATCTGACAGTTACAAATCCCAAACTAGGTGGGTCAATAACGGCCCATAGCACTTTCCCATAATATAATTCTAATTTTCATTAAACAATTAAAACTTGTGATGATAAATCATAAATTTAGGGTTGTATTTTAATTAAGAGTAATGCTATAAAGCCCACTTAGGTTAACTCAAGTGTAAATGCGCTATTTTTTAACTCAAGTTGTTGTCCAAGTTGGCTAAGTAGCATTACTCTTTAATTAATACCAAATTACTCCATTCATTGACAATGTCAATTTTATTTACATATAATATACTATTTCTATTTGTTATTTGCTACTATACTAATACCTTAATTTTTATTAACAATTATTCCAAAGTTCTTTATCTCCTTTATTACCGAATACAAGTTAATGTTTGTTAAAAAAAAATGATATTTTTTATTATTTTTATAAGTTTTTTGATATGTTATTTAAGTTAATTTAATAACCTACATTCAATTATTCAACAATTAATTACCCTTCTAATATCTGTAGCTTAATAATTCTAGAAGGTTTTGTTGGTATATGTGTCCTAGAGACAATCATTTTAAGGACATATATACATGATCACATTAATAATTATATTGGATTATAATTATGGTATTGTAATTATTTAAATAATTGTTTGATTGTTTGCAATTTATTAATTAATTGCTCCCTTGAGTTGATACTGTCATTAGCAGAGTGAGATGTTAATTGATAAAGTATAACTCTAAAATCGCCTCAATCGATGATCATTAAGAAAGGGATATTAATGATACGCGATAGATTGACATGTGGTCTGCATCATATTCTTAGAGAATATAGTATGTCTCACTGCTATGAATAATTGTTATTCGTGATGGACACATGGATACTTTGGAGAGTATTGGCATACCCTACCGATAAACCATTTGTTTATGTGTCTATGGGAGTGTCGGTGTGTGGAATGGTGTAATAGTCCTTTGACTTGAGGTCAATACGCAATTCATGTATAGAGTGATTTACTTAGACCTAGTCCAACGCTTACGCCCTTATGGGTAGACACGGGCTCGTGTTGGGTAGATCACGATATACATGGGATTGGTAGTTGAGCCAAGATAGGATTCATTCCTCAAATAAAGTTTCGAGAGAACACTCGTTTTCTCTATACTGGGTTGATAAAGTCATTGGCCAATGCACGTAATTATATTTGAAATAGTGTTCAAATATAATTGATAAAATCAACCAGCGAGATGAGATAAAATGATTAAGCTGTTTGGATAGACATACGTTCAAATCCTAAGCTTAATCGAGTGGTTCGTGAATGAAGGGACCGTATCACTATTGAGTTCTACACTAAAGGTTTGTTTGCTTGTCCATGTAAACGTACTTCATATTTTGAGTTCGTCCTTCGACGCAGTCTAGGAGTTTCGTAAGGATCATAAATTAGATTTATGTCAATATATGAAGGCCTATAGGGTCACACAATATGCAATCAGTTTTTCCGACTAAGAGTGAATTGAGAGTGTTAAATATTCAATTAGATTGGAATATTTATTTATGAGTAATGAGATTATTTTGTATTAAGTTAAATTGGATTTATACTTAATTAATAATGAGATAATTTTCTATTAGATGGAAAATATTTAATTAAGTTAAATTAGATTTATACTTAATTAAATTATTAATTGGACTAGGTCCAATTACCTATTGGGTTGTAGGGTCTCCTAAGGCCCATATGATTAGGTTTGACCTAATTATAAATACACCATCATCTCATTGTAGTCTTCTAATCGTTGGATGAGAGAAAAGGAAGACAACGTAAAATAAAACACTCTCTAGCTTTCTGGATCGAGGATTCCTAGCTTCTTCACCAGAGAGGATTCATTGGCGTTGGATCGTGCATCGGGAAATTGGATTGCGTGGATACCATAGTCGAGGACATAGACGAACAACGGTAAATTTTCGTTGATTATTCACGCGATCTAGGATCACATCGAATAGCTATAGCCGGATCTTCGTTGTTGGTAAGAAAAATTTTAAATTCCGCTGCGCGTACGCTAGGTTCGTACGTCTGAAATCCAACAGGTTTTAGATATGCAACCGATATTGCCCGTCTAATGCTAGTTTACTATAATTATAAACAATGTCAATATAATCTTTTATATAATTATGACAAATATAAGAAAATTTTAGTTATTAAATATAATAAATGAAGGTAAATTGAATTATGGAAATATAATATTAATTAAAAATGAATGAAAACATGTTGGGTCTATGAAAAAGTAGGTTTAACATATTTGGAATGAATCCACATCCTAAGAGTAATATTCATAAAAAAATTGTAGTCAAATTTTAGTTTTCAACATTATGTAAGTCTTATATTTCGTAATTTTTTTTTAAGTAAAATTTTACAGCGGTACCTGCCTAACACTCTATAAGTATAAATGATACAATATAATTACTCGACTAGGGTATCACTCACTGTCTTACTCGGTTTTCTAGCTTGCTAGGAAAGGTGTGCTTTGAAATGTTCTCTCTGGTCTACAAAAGTCTGTTCAACATTTAATTATATTATTTTTTATATATAATTATGATAAATATATGAAACATTTAGATGAATAAAAATAAAATGTGGAGTTATAGATTTAAAATATAATAATATATAAGAATATAATATTAAATAAAAGTAAGTTCGAAACATGTGAGACCCATATAAAGTGAGGTTTATGAGTTTTATTATTATTGAATGTATATGGGTGTATGGGTAAGAATGATGTTTTGGATGATGTGACATGTTGAGAATTGTTAAAAAAAGGTGAAAAAAGAGGGATTGTTAAAGATGAACATCTATATCAAATATTAAATCTCGTAACCTCATTTTACACTTCCGAATATGTCACATCATTCAAAACTCCATTCTTATTCGTACTCTCATAAACCTCTAAAAACAAACCCCTTAAATATACTTTTAAATGGGTCCAATTTCTCATTTATATTTAATTATTAATATACATTCATATTTTTAGATATATTTGAAAAATAAAGTTCAGTTTTTATTTATCTAAAATATTTTTCAGTTGATAAAATTTAATTAATATTTATATTTATATTCATTAAAATTAAATCATAATGGGATAAAAATTAAATATTACAACTAAATAAAATATTTGTTTTTAAATGAATTGTGTCTTTATGAGAAAGTAAACAAATATTTTTTTTACTAATATCAACTACAAAATATTAATATATAACTTTTTCCAAAAAGAAAAAACAACACATGAATTAAAAATTTACAATAATAATACCTACCCACGGTGGACACATTTTAATATGTCCACTGCTTATGTGGCATGCACACATTGGTGATGTTAATATGTTCAAAAAAATACATCACCAATGTATGCATGCCACATAAACGGTGGACATATTAACACCGTAGATAGGTGATCATTACTCTAAAAAATTAACTACGAGTAATTTCCGCTTATAACAATTCACATTGATACTAAACACAGTAAAACAACCAAAAAAAAAAGAGAGAAAGAGAGAAAAAAAGCAAAGAAAATGATAAATTGAACATGCACATGGGCGTGGCAGTAGTGGTTATCTCTAGGGCTGCAAAGCCGAGCCAAGTCGAGCATTGACTTTATCGAGCAGTATTGCTTTTTTTTTAGCTGCTCGAGCTCGACTCGATAAAAAATTACAACAGCTCGAGCTCGGCTCGCAATCAAAATGCTCGAGCTCGCCTCGAAATTTTTTAAGTGGAAAGGTAAAATTACCATTAAGAATCTATGCTAACATATATAAAGGGTATTTTAGTCATTTAACATGCATCTCAAGTCGCTCGACAAGGCAAAATATAGGCTTGAGCTCGACTCGAGTTCGGTCAAAGTCGAGCTCAAGTCGAGCTTTGACTCGAGCGCTCGTGAACGGCTCGCGAGCCGCTCGGTTCGTTTGCAGCCCTAACTATCACACATGCAAAGGTTGTTGTGTGCTCAAATGTCGTTGATTTATTTCAACCATGTGTTGCAAGTAGGTCTCCGAGTCGAGCCCTTAGCAAGGTGAACCGAGCTTGTTAAATAAATGAACCAAAAAAACTTGAGTTCGGCTCGTTAAGGCCTTGAGCTCGAGTCGATCTCGAGCTTTAACAAGTCGAGCTATAGAAAATTATATAAAAATTTCATTTTTGAGCCTTAT